GGAACATCTCCCTGCTGAGGAAAGGCTGAGGGAGCTGGGTCTCCTTAGCTTGGAGAAGAGGAGACTGAGGGGCGACCTCATCCGTGTTTACAAACACCTTAAGGGCAGTGTCAGGAGGACAGAGGAAAGCATAGGACTAGGGGCAGTTGGTGCAAACTGGAACACAGGAGGTTCCAGGTAAACATCAGGAAGAACTTCTTTCCTGTGAGAGTGGCAGAGCCCTGGGCCAGGCTGCCCAGAGAGGCTGTGGAGTCTCCTTCTCTGGAGACATTCAAACCCATCTGGACACGTTCCTGTGTGATGTGCTCTGGGTGATCTTGCCTGGCAGGGGGTTTGGACTGCATGGTCTTTCCAAGTCCCTTCCAACCCCTAAGATTCTGTGATTCTGTGTGATTTTGTGAAATTCATACACATAGAAGAAATGAGAGATCATCCCCAACTCCATGGAAAACTCTTCCCTCCTGTTTGGGACTGAGATGCTTTCCAGCCCAAGAGCTGCCTTTTCATCAGTCCAGTCAATCTATGCATGACTAGCAAAGCTTTTGCCCTGAATAATGTTTTCAAAGCACAGCAAATCAAAAGCAAGAGGATCAGTAGTATTTGTTTAGAACAGAACAGTACAAAACATGCTTTGGGAACTTCAAACAGAGCTGCTCTGATTCCCAGGGTATAATCTTTTCTTAACTATTCCTGCACCTCTTGCATACTAAAATAGCAAACGTAATCCTGCAGATGAAAAAGTATTTGGAAACCAGCTCCTTCTGTTCAGAGAAGGTTGTTGCTTTCTTCTCAGCCTTATGTCTGCCATTGCTGCATCAGACTGCCTAGCAGGATGGAATGATCCTTGCAAACAGGTTCTGAAAGTTACTGCTCAGGGGATGAAAAGCAGCACGGCTTGAATAATCTAATGTACTGTTACCTCCTTACTATGCAAAGTATCCCTCTTTTCTCTAGCTAGTAAAGGTCTAACAGCTATAAACAACTTAAGATAATAGGAAGATAAAGAGATATTTTATATAAAGCTTTTCCTTATGGTAGGCTATACATTAAGTGCTAATAGAGCTCAGCTTGAAGTTCATTCTATAACTCCACTGAGAGAGTAAAGTGTCTAAAATCACTTTTATAATCAAAGTAATAATATTTGGTGATTCTCCCTGTGACAGAAAAATTCTTCCCTTCCATGCAGACCACAGTATAAAAGTGGTTGTTCTGTGTGTGGGTCCTGTCCAGTGGTGTCACTATCCCTTGCACACTTGTGGTTTCAAGAAGCAGGCTTACTTGGCTTCGAGGGCAGAATAGTCTCCCAGTACCTCAGGCACTGTCATTAGTTCAGGCTGCCACATGAACTGGGTGAAAAGGGTTTGATCTCATCTCCAGGAAGAGGCAGAGGGAAGGTTGTGAGCAGGCTGGCAGGAGGGGAGGCAGGCAGACCCAGGCCAGTGAACTCCTGGGGGAGACCTCTGCCCCAAAGTTCCCCTCTTCAGCCCTGTCTTATGAATTTGGCTGAAAAAGGGAGAGAATCTGACCCCTCGCTACTTTTTTAAATTTAATTTTTTTCCTCTCTCACTAGAACTCGACTTTCTTGAAGTGCCAGAACATAACCAGAGTGGGGCATTTTTCCAAGTGCCTCTGTGTTCCATTCCAAAGGGCCCTTTTCCGTGTGTGCAGCAGGTGGATCCAAAAAGTATGACACATCTGGATGGCTCTCAGGAGGCTACAACCCATTATAAGAAAACCTAATCAGTGCTGAACAGAGAAATTTCCAGCAATTGTAGTTGATCCAGTGTTAAAATGCTGAAAATGAAAGTGTGGTCAATTCTGCCTCATCTACTTCTCATTCTCTAGGCTCTGCCCTTATATAAAACCTACGAGGGTCAACTCTGTGTCCATGAATTCCTTTCCATGGTTTGAAAAAAATCTTACAAGCACTGGCACAACATACAAGAACTTTTTCAAATTTGTCTTTCAGGATAATTTCAAGAAGGTGGCAGCACTCAGGAATTAGCCCTCTGTGAGAATCATTTATCCCTGTTCCATCAGTTTGGCAGCAGTGTTTCCTATATACAAGCATTTTGCATAAGTCGTTCCACTGAAATCATTGACTGTGGTAAAACTGGTGGAATCCATTTCATCAGGCCCAGCATGTTCTGGGGCAGGAGGGCTTTGTCCTGGCAGGCTGTGTGCTGCACACATCCTGTTATGCAAATCTGAGGATTCCTCAGAGCCTTTGCCCTGTCCCTGCTCCCCTTCTTACAGTTCACCCTGCAGTTGATCTTCTGCAGACAAACCTACATGCCACCAGCAGCCTCTGAATCCTACCAGCTGCCCACAACAGCAACAAGCTTGTTCTGCTGCTATTGGCACCTGAGCAGCACTGTGGTCAGTGTATCCTGCACAAAAAGAACTCCCATCCCGTGAGTTCAGAGTCTGAAAGTTACCAGGCCTGGTGCTCAGCTCACGCAAAGCAACACAATCCCACTCAAGCCAGTGAACTCTGCATTACACAAGCAAAAGGTCTTGCTCATTGTTTCAAACTGGTGGAATTATTTTTTTTTTTAAAAAAAAAAAGAAAGACTAGGAAGACTCAGAGTTGGATACAAGAAGAGACAAAGGTGTGGTCAGAAAATACATAAATCAGTTCTATTTAATAGGATAAAAAGAAAAAAACCAAAAAACAAAGTCATACCCACAGGTAGCTCAAAGTCACGTCAAGGTGCATGTCTGCTTCTGACCTGAACTCTTCAGACACCCAGTCTTTCCTCATGTCCACCCCCACGCTGCAATTTGGGAGCAAAGACAGAAGCCTCCCTGTGCAGCCATCCCAGCTATCAGCTGCCACTCCCCTGCCCTGGGTGCCAGCCCAGCTGGCTCTCCCTGGTGCTTTGCATGGTGCTTCCCGGGGCTGGGATCCTGCTGAGTGCTCATCCACCTTGCCCAGGCCCTCCTGCTTCCTGGGGCAGACTCAGCTGGACATGTTTTTTCACTTTCTGTTTTGTGCTGCTAACACATCTGTACAGACACAGGCAGCTTAGTGACAACTAGTTTTCTGTCTGCAAAACCCTCAGCATTTTTTTATCATTAGTGTTTTCCCACCATCTCCCTTCTGTGAAGCACATTTTAAATAGAGCATATCCACATTAAAAAGTCCTTCCTCCTCTTCTTCATGTATTTCTGCACCCTGGGACAAACAGTGTAACCATGATGTATAAACATGAATTCTGAATTTGGCCCAAACAAAACATAAACTGAATCTTCTTAAAGTACAATCTTACCCCAAGAATGCACTGTCCTCGATTCCTTCAAAGTGACAGTACAAGTTCACATGACATGCTTTGGCTACCCAGGACATCACAGAATCATGAGGGTTGGAAAAGACCAACCAAGACCATCCACCCAACAGCTCCATGCCAACCAAAGCGTGTCCTGAAATGCCACATCCACACCTTCCCTGAACACCTGAGAAATAGTGACTCCATCCCTACCCTGGGCAGCCTGTTCCAACACCAGGTGGTGAAACCTGGAAAATAAGGACCAAATTCACATCCCCCAACACTTTCAGAAGGTGGACTTCCCATTGATGCATGGAGCCATTAAAATTAATTAACTGCTGTTCTAGGAAAGTTCAGAATCTCACCTGAATGCAGATCTAAATGTTTCTCAGGTTTGGAAAGGAACCATCACATCCATAGTATTGCTTTACATGCATTTAATTTCAGATTTTTATGCTGTGCTTTGCTCCTTTGAGGTCCTTCCTTAATTATTTTCCTGGTGTTTTGAATTCCCAGGTACCTTTCTGTGTGCATAGCCCAGCTTCCAAAAGGGATGTCCAAACCCAACCCCTGCCAACAGCAACCAACCTCACCCTCATTTCAGACTGCCTGTTTGACTTACCCACCTGTCCAGTTTACATGACATTCCTCATCTAAAACTCATGGTAAAGGTTAGATCCTGTTTGTAAAGGCTGACATACCTTCATGGAAACCTAGACATATCTCTGCCCGACCCAAAGATAAAAGCTACCAGGCCCTACCAACCAGCTGAGGAACTACATGCCAGTCACCATAGCCTCCTGGATCAGAAAGATTCCTCCATAAACCATGGAGTATCTCCTGCACTGCACTGTGCAGGTGGTATGGAACCACGTGGGTGGGATGTCCCGGAGACAGCAGTGTAGCTGTGCTAACATTATACTCCTCCAGGCCAACAGATCTCCTGTGAAACCTCTGCAGTGCTGTGTGGTGACTCCAGTAGTGCAGCTGATGGGATGAGTCTGGGTGGTGCTGCAGAGAAATGCTGTCAAACACCTCAGCTTCTAAATATCCTGACCCACCATCCCCGAAGAGTAGGTCACTGCTGAGTAACGGAGTCCAGAGTCACTTCCCTAGGTCTGTGTCTTTCCCCTCCCTCACCAGCCACCCATCAGTGGCAGCTCTATAGCCAGCAGGCAGTGCCACTATCCCTCTCTCATTCCTTCTCCTGAGTGGTTCTTCTGTCCAGCTCAAGGCTGTGTCCCAAGAACAGCACTTGATGGATGTGCTCTCTGCCTTTAGCAGCTGGGACATCTGGGCACATTTTCCCTGGCTGGGGACACGCGTCACATCTCACATTTGTCACAGCTTTGCCAGCCCTGCTCCTGTTGCCCATGTCAAGCACCACATTTCTGATTTTTTCTGCCGTTTTCCAACCTTACCCCACTAGCACTGGCCAAGTGTGAGGGCCCCCAGGCTCACAGAGCTGCCCCACATTTCCCAGCAGTAACAACAGCCCAGTAAAGCAGTGCCCAAAGGGTGATGCTCGGGTAACCAGCTGCACTGGGTACCAGGAGGGGGACAAGAGTCCATAGAATCACAGAATCATAGAATGGTGAAGGTTGGAAGGGACCTTAAAGATCTTCAGGTTCCAACCTCCCTGCTAGGAGCAGAGTTAACCCCTGCCTTTTCCCAAAGAGCCCTGCCCCAGGGCACTGCAGTTCAAAAGCAAATGAACAAATAAACTCCTACATTGAGATTGCGAGTCCAGACGCTTCGAATCCAACCAGGATCTTTCATCAATGGAATCTGAAAGAAACAAAGAGTAATTAGGAATAATACAGTTCATTAAATATGCACAGAAGTTAATGTATCCAGACCTCAGTTATGGTCCTTGAAACCCAGCTGCTCTGGTGGATACTGCTCCTGTGATTCCTCTGTAAGCCACATTGCCCTTGAGTCATCCTGACTTTTTATCTGTGCTGAGAGACATTTCCACCATCTCAGTGTTCAGGGTTTTTGCAAATTCACCTGGTTCTGGTAGGTGGAGCTCCTCAGAGTTCCACTACTGTTCATTACACTCATTCGTACACTCTGCTTTATGTATCACCAGGATAACATTCTGTGTGGGCTACGTGAAAAGTAAGTCTGGCGTGGCAGCATCAGGAGGAGACACCAAAGGTCTGGCCACCATCATACTTTGCCTTAGAGGTTGCACCACCCTGTTCAAACACAATTTACCACGTCTCTCCAACATCATTAGGGGGCAGGAGGTATTATTAATTCCATTTTCCAAATCAAGAAACTGAAATACACCCTGATTAAATTACTTACTCAGTGTTGCAGAGGAAGTCTAGCACAAGAATTAGAAACAGATCTCTTTCCACATGACCCATTGCTTTAACAACAGAACTATCCTGTCTATTCTCAGAAGCCAAACAAAAATACTGGTGTTACTGCACCAGTAAGTAAACAAACAGAAGTGATCTTGCAAGCTAAATTATTAATTGAAATATAGATGGGTGTCACATGCAAATGCTGGGCGTAATATAATTACATTTTCCTGTTGCCTGAGCTTGTCTGGGTTTAACTGGGATCTGGCTGCTTTGTTGACCAAGATGGTGACTCGAAGGTGTCACAGCAGCTCAGTGCTCAGTGACAACACTCAGCATTTGAGAACATGAAGTATCACTGTTTCCTGCCATTTCACACAGTGTGGGGCTCAGTGTATGTCTTTAACATCTGTCCATTTTTGAGTTCTAGGAGCACTTCCATCTCCCAGGGGGAGGTGCCAGCCCTGTCCACGCCTGGGCCAGGTGAGCAGGGAGCCCCTGGGCACTGCTCAGTGCAGTGTCTGGGGAGCAGATGGGTTCATTCCCTGGAAAATGCTTGCCCTGCCCTTTAGCTGTAGCCTTTGGATTTCCCAAAGGGATCAGCTGTGCAAAACAAGAACCTGTCAGGGTCCAGTCTGCCCCTTTGCACACTGCTGGATCCAGAGGAGCTGCTCTGGGGCTGGGCTGGCAGGAGCAGCTGGGAAGGCAGGCAGTGCACCAGGAGGTGCCACCTTCTCACTCCAAACATCAGGGACGTGTTGGCAAAGTAGATCAAGGGTTTCTGTATTAACTCATCCCTTCCTCCTTTTTCCTCAGCCTTTGCAGTCTGCTCTGGAGCTCACACAACTAGAGAACAGCTCAGATGAGTACGTTTATTTTCAAATATGCATATTCATGAAAGGACTAGACAGATCTTCCCTCTCCTTTCCTTCCTTCCTTTCTTTATTCTTTCTTTTCTTTCTTTCATTTGCTCTTTCTTTCTCTCTTCCTCTCCTTCCGTCTTTCTGTTTCTTTTTCCTTCTTTCACTCTTCTTTTCCTCACTTTTGTTCCCTCTTTCTCTCCCTTTCTCTTTCCC